CTTTCCCTTCCCTGTCTTGACTAAATCATAGCATCAGCTTAACATCACACAGGAACCATGAATGATGTTAAAATACCTAACAGAAAGTGAAATTTCATGAAGCAGAACATAACCAACAGAACTGGAATCTGATCAGTATGCTAGTGTTGGTATACTAAATAAAAAGAGTTTATTAAAGGGGGGGGGAACAAGGGAAACTTTAATGACCACAAACATCAAACAAGAATCGGAGTGATCTGATTTTGCAAAATGAGATGTTTATTATAGTCAGGAGTCTGTTGCTGTATAGTCTCAAAGTGCCTGGAAGGTAAGAACTTCTACCCCTGGCAATCTCATTGGCACCAGAGCAGTCCCTGGCTCTGTACCCATTCCACATGCATATATACCCTGATAGCATTAAGCAATAACATCTTAACAACCAAAGAGAAAATGGATGGAGAAATAATTGTACTAAGTGATTCTCTGAGCCTCTAAATTAATCAACATTATGGGCCCCTATATCAGGCTGCCACTGGCATTAATAATCCAATCTTTACCTTTCATTCCAGAGTGTGGGACATTCACGGGTGGGGTTTACTTGGGCAATCATGTGTGATGGCTTCTCTGCCCTTATAACTCAGCCTCCTCTACTCACCTCCAAGAGCAGTTGTGGAATTCAAGATAAGAGGGAGGGATAAATGCAGAAGGTTTCATACCGCTGAGTGCTAAAGGGGGTCATTCTGGCTGAATTACACAGCTCAGCCATAACGTTAGTGACAGTCCATCATGCTACATTTTGCTTTTAAAACAGCTCCAATGCAGCTTCCTTCCTACCACCAGGACAGCCAAAGATGACATATAGCTGCCTTCACAAAGTAGTCAGTTTATGGCAGCTGGGCTCACACCTGCTTGAGTATCATCTTCCCCAGGCTTGGATGTCTAGTGCTGCAATTACAGGTAGGAACAGGTATCCATAACTCTTCCCCATGGTGGGGAAAGCAGTGCCTGGTGGCATGATTTTGAGTGTGGAAATGGACAGCCCATGAGACAGGGTTAAGCAGCCTGACCATGCCTATCATTGAGCATGTAGCCTCTAGACTAGAGGCTTCCTTTGATAGTGGGGGAGAAAAAGATACACACAATTAAGCATCTTGCTTGGGCTGAGGATACCCTCCAATTCATATTAATTCTTGACTTTACAATTGCGTCTATGACGTAGGCTCACAGCTGAATAACAGGACAGGTAACAGGAGCATGAGCTGTACATAGTAATATATACCACAGTCCCTAAACCTTTACCTAAATAGATTTCTAAACCATTCTGTACTGTGCAACTCCACTACCTGTGTAGAAAAGCCCTCCTGAATTATTTAATTTTTCATATTGAGAGCCTTCCTAACCCGGCAGGCCATTCCATGGGGTGGGGGGCACAACTGAGAAGGCACATGCATGGCCAATTGTTGATTTTGCATATTTTCAGGTTGGCACCTGCAGAAGTCCCTGCTCGCTTGAGTAAAGCTGCTCTAGCAAAGAACAGGGGGAGAGGCA